AACGACAATCTAGATAGTTGATAAATCTCTTGACAATCTAGATAAATCTAGGATTCTTCTATGGCATGAAGTATCTTGAAAATTGACACTCGGCCAGGTCTTTAAAGAATGATTATTTGATTATTTCTGGATTTATGTTAATAAATTTTCTATTTAAAAGAAATTTATAAATGCAAAATCATTGAATTGTCAATAGATCTGAAGTAAAAGAGCAAAATCAAATATTTGTAATTATTTATATGCAAATATGGGTAAACAAAACCTTAAAATCTTATTGTATCATTATGTAAATCAACAGATCATTTTCCCATCAAATCTTTGGAGAAAAAAATTCGAATAATTAAAATATATTAATAAAAATTTTCCAGTCAAATTTCATAGAAAAAATTCGACTGCTTCATTTTTTGCGAAATAAATCGAAATTATTTTTAAAATATCGATTGCCGATTAAGATAAAAAATTTATTATATTCGCAATTTTTTAATTGAGAGAAATTTGAGAAATAAGTAGGTGATTGGTGCTCACCATTTCTGGTTAGGCTCATTCCACTGGCTATAAGTAAGAATAGGAATTTTCGTAGTAAAGTTACTTGAGGATAGAATATAGTTGGTTCTTCAGCACAATCGCTAACTTTTAATAATAACTTTATTCTTTTTCAAAGGCAAAGTCTTAACCTCGATGCCTCAGAACAAAGCACGTTGAACCCAAATATTTTTTCTGCATGTCTTCAAATTAAGGATTTCGCGAGTTTTTCGAATAAGTTTTTTTATACGTCTTTTATGGATAGAAATTTTGCTGGATTTTGCAATGTGTAATAATATTACGCCATTAATATTACCAGAATTCCATATATTATATCATATTTAATATCCATAATGTCGTATGAACATTCATTCAGATGTTTTTGACGAGTTTTTTCTCCTATTTCGTTATCATTTGATCAAATTTCTTATGCCGTACACATAATTCTTAATTGATTGCGTCCCTTTACTCTATCGGATCAATCTGCCAAAGAATGTCTTAATATTTTGATAAAATTGAATAGATAATGAACTTAGTTACGATCGTCATACAACAGATAGGAGATGCAAGAGGGATTAACAAAATACTGGGCAGGTGCATTGACGGATCTGATCAAAGAATTAAGAAGCAATATAGATTCGAAAAAGGTGACAAAAAATGACTAAATTGAGACGTATCATCTCACACATCCTGCTCTTTTGTCTTTCTTAATGGGATTTACCACTATTGATGATGATCTCGTATAGAAAAGTCCTTTGATGTCTTTGATCTCATATTAACCGATTTTAAAAATGCCGCAATGCCTCATCATAACATACATCCATATATCATTCATTTTTGTCACCCTTCTTATTATTTTGTATTTTATCAGAGATTTTTCAAGAAAAAAAATTAAGTGACAATCATATTAGATTAGCTGATAATAAAATGAATATCATTTAAAATTTTAAATATAAAAACTACTTTACTTTTCAATCTAAAATTTGGATGCTCATTTTAAAATGAATTATTAATATTATTACATATATTTATAATTATTACATATAAATCAATGTATTTGAAAGAAATATAGGAGGACAGAAGAATGATGAACAGGGATATATTGTGGTAATTAACTGAGTAAATGGTCAGCTCCCACTTCTGGTTAGACTGACTTGCTGACACGATAAGAATTTTGAACAATTTATCATTCAATAAAAGTAGGTCTCCAATAGTGCTGGTAAAGCCGAAATAATTTATTTTAAAATATGATATTTTAAAAAAATAGAGAAAATTTATTTCAAATTTTTTTTACATCAAAATTAATTAACTTTATTGTTTAATTTTAAACACTTAATATGGATGAAAATACAGAAATAAGGAAATAATATAAGGAATTAAATCAAAGTAACAATCATTGCCATCATCAACCCGGCAAAAATTAACAGATGCTATGAGAAACTGACTATAAAAACGAGCAAAAATGGTATGGATTAGAGACTTTCTGGTGAATAATAATTGCTGCTTAATGAATATTTCTTGTTTCATTCTTCCATTATACAGTAATAATTTTTTTCAAAATACTTGCTTAAAAAATATGTGAACAGATTGAATCATATGGTTGGTTTAGTGTTCAAATTTCTGTCGGTCGAATTCAATTGCTCGTGAAATGTATGTGTATTGTGATGATTTCGATAAGGGAACAATCAAAAGAAAAAAGAAAAAATGGCGAAGAAAATTCGATTATCTCATGTCGACGGAACAAATAAAAGATTATTTGATGCCGCAAGCGGAAATAACTAATAAAAATAAATAGGAGCAACCGGAAGGTAATTAATGACATAAAATATAAATTTTGAAGACAATGATCCATTTTAACCTTTAAATTTATGAAATACTAAAAAATTAAATTAAAATTTATTTATTTCCAAGATCTTCAAGTTATGAGGAAAAAACTCGTATAACTACTTCATATTAGCAGAAAATAATATTTAACAGATAAAGCTTGGGCAAAATTCATTTTAATAAATTTTAGTATTTGTAAAATTTTATTAAATATAAATTATTAAATCCCTGAGTTATTTAGCCAAAATAAAACCATTTAAGCAGTCTCATCAAATTTCTTCGATGTGATTTTTGTCATTCGTCCAAACCTTTTTTTCAATTTATAATTTAAATATTTATTCTTCATATCAGTTTTTATTGCAAAATCTAATTTTTTTTGAAAGTAAAATATTAAGTTTTCTGCATTTTTGAGACTTTTGCATACAAAATAACACATAAATGATCGACTAAAATGCTATAATGAAGGCATGAAAAGCAATTTAGCCGACATTCAAACGTTTATTCGCGACAATGTTTATATACAGTAATCCAATTGTTTCATTGCATTGATCAGCGGCGATACAACAACCAGTAAAAAGCAATTCATAGTCTTCTTGCTAACTTTACTATAAAATTTTACTTTTTAAACAAACTCTATTCTATCAATTTTGGGCTATTTCGGATAATTGTACAAATACTATGGAATACTGTATAGAATGATTCAAAATCACAATTATTGTTTAGTAATTATTTATTTATATACGGAAATTTATCTATTATGTCAATATAAAAAAATTTCCCTATTAACCCGATATAAAATGATTTATTAAACGAAATTCCTAGGATTTCTCTTTATATTTTATACTTAAGTCTTGCTTTTGCACCTTTTGCCGTAAAATTTATTAAAGCGAATAAAATATTACTTTTGGAAGAAAATAATCAAAAATGACTTGGTCTTTTATTTGTGACAAAAAAAAATGCACACTTACTGTGGTTATAAATCAAACATTCACCTTGATACTAATCATAAATCTCTCATAGTAGCATCACTACTGAATGGTCATTTTACTATCCCATCTTATATTAAAGATAGGATAAATAAGGAAAGATAAAATATTCGATAAATGATGAATGAAGTATAAAAAGTTTATAAAACTTGCAAGGGCTTCTTAGTATTGTATAACCTTTAATATGATCAATTGTTACAAGTTATCACCTATCGATATTTGAATTTTTAGTAACCACTTTAAAAAAATAACAACTTTAAAAAATAACCACTCCTAAAAAAATCCGCTTCTTAAAAGCAAATTTCATTCGAATATGTACGAAGGCATAAAGAAATACTATTTCTAATATATTCTTCACTCTGCGCAATGTTGCAAAAAATATTTTTTTGTGTGGGAAGTAAATTAAAAATGTGATTGCGGTGGTTAGATCAAACAAAGATCTACAATATATCTTCACAAAATATTGCAATAGAATAAAAATTCTTTGTTCAGTCTTGTGATAATATTAATTTGTTAATTTATTATATTATTATTCTTTCGAAAAGTTTTTTACTATATTTTTACTTTTATGGGAAAAAGGACTGGAAAATTAATTTTTCACTTATTCGATTACTTTTATCTAAATGGTAAGAAAAAAAGCTATAAAAAATCGTATAAAAGTAAACTAGAAAGTATACATCGTGTAGGCTGATAAAATTGAAAGTATCAATGGGATATTTGTAAGAATTTGGCAGATCTTAGTGGGAATAAAATTTCTTTTCCAGTATACTCATAGCAGGATATTATTAAAAATAATAATTTATAAAAATAATAATTTATTTAATTTATAATAATTTTAATAGCTTCCAACACGAATAGTATGGAAAAATGATTTAGATTTGGCTTAGCCAATGATAAATAAAATAAAACAATTCTTCAAAAAAAACATGGACTTTGCCAACGCTTGCAAGAGTAATGAATCAGTATTTCAAAGAATTCCTCATACAATTTTATATTTATGTTGCCACTATTCGCCATAACTCATATTTATTGATAAGTTGACATAATTTGATTTTATTCTCTTAACTTTAAAATTTTGATAATTTAGCAAATTTTTTGTATCGTCTGTTTACTATAATAAGATTAATAAAATTATTAATAAAATTATAATACGAGATAAGAATTTTTATGATTAATGATTAATAACTGTATGTTAGCAATAATCATAAAATAATTAATAGAAGAGAACCATTGTTTAATTGACAAAATTCACAGCAATAAATATGGTTTGATAGCCTTATATCGCAACAATTTTTATTCAAGTTCTATTAAATACTTTTCTATTATCATTAAAAAGAAACTTTCACTTTTTCTACATCAATTAATTGTGGGAAATAAAATTTAAATTGGTAAAAAATTACACTTAAAGAAATTAGCAAGAAAATTTGGATATCAAATTTTTTTGCAACCAAATTTAAATAAATTCGGAGTTTTAATAAAAATGTTTTGAAATAATTAGTTTTAATAAAAATAAAGTTTTAATAAAAATCTTATAAAATATTTTGCATAGTTAGTTAAAAATATATTTTGTATGAAGGCAAGAAATCCAACTAACAACGATTGGATGGCTTATCATATGGACGCAGAAAAAAAGAAGAAAGTTTAATATAAATTTTTTAAATGTTCAGACTAACTTCTTGCTGGTGATTCGACATGTGATGAAGTACGTCCATCGGAAACTGATGGTGATAAATCTGAAAATTTCAATGGTGATTTTTTAATGATTATTGTAATACAAAATAAATACTATCGATACATTTGATATATATATTCATCCTGTTCTTCAAATTTCACCTCTATTAATTATTTTAAAAAACCACCTCGAAAACCTCCATTGCTAATTAAAACTATTAAGAAGAAGAGTTCCAGAATTACCAATTTGTGACTGTGGTGAATGATTTTGCAAATTATGGATAAGTTGCTGTTGATGAAGAAAATTAGCATAATAATGTTGGATATGAGGATTGAATAACGATAACGGAGTGGCCATAGTTGGTGGAAAAACCGAATTTCCGGTTGTTGTAACCGTTGGAAAACCAATAAATGGTAAACCGGGAAACATTGCAGCTGTCGTCAGTCGTTTTTCTTTATCAACGTCACTATTTGAAGGTAATGAACACATACGAGGAAGAGACATCTATAGGCTGCAAAAAAAATTTTTAAAGAATTTTCCGAATATTTGGAGAAATGAGTTAAGTTATTTCAAGATATTTTTAGAGTTCAAGCTATGAAAATATAGGAAATATAGGTTTCCCATCCGATTTTAAGCTCATTTCAGAGTTTTTGAAAGCATCGGAGAAACTGCTATTTATTTTAATAATATCTCTATGGATATAATTAGCCATCAGAAACAGTATGCATTGCAATGGCTAGATTATCGATTCAAGTGTTGTAGTTCGGTCATTGCCCAGAACAGGAAATAAACCTGCCATTAAGACCTCAGGATAATGGGACTTCACAAGTGCTTCTGTCACTAAGTGGCCCTTAGCACAATTGTCTCATTCTTCTAATCGTCAGTATACCCCGACTAGAAATGGTAAATGCTAGATAGCTTGATTTATTATTATAGTTTCCTCAAAATACCAAATTCTTTGAGAAATACTCATTAAAATGTAAAAATAATTCAAGCAGAGATTATTCAAGCGATTTCAAGCGATTTTCTCATTCGCTCATCAATCTTTTTCGTTGATTCATCCATCAACTGTTGGTCACCTACCGATCTAACTATCGCAGAACTCGTTAAACGTTAGAAAATTATTTAATTATTAGTCCTTTTGTTGCAAAAGATTAATTTTCGGTTAAAAGTACTAGTCCACACGTTCAATTCAGCAGAACAATGGTTGCAATCAATTAGATCTTACATAAACCTAAGTTAGATAAAAATTGAACCCAAGTTAGATAATCGAAAAACGCAGGAAACCGTGGAAAAAATCCACAGATGAAAAAAAATGCCTAAGAAAAATGCTATTTATCAAAATGGAGACAAACTATGCTATAAAAGTGCAGAAGAAGAAAACGTATCAGTAAAATCGAGGTGGTAAAATCTCTAAACTGAGATCTTCAATTAAGAATACCAATTAATTGATAAAAACAGACTAAAATTTGGAAAATTGGAAAACAATAATAAAAATAATATAAATGAAAAATTGCAGGCGAAATCTGACTAGCTGTTCATCGGATTAATTTGAGCAACTTTTTGGTGATCGATGATGATCTATTAGAGGCAAGCAAAGTTATTTGGCGTTTCGCCCCATCAAACATTTTTGTTATAAATATAGCAAAAGATATGAAAGAACAAAAAAAAGTTGCTGCATTTTGGGTGAATTTTTGGATGAAAAGAAAACATTTTGGAAAGAATAAATTAATTTTAGTGAAAATTTAATTAAAATTTCAATATGAAATGTGAAAAAAGCAGATTAAAAAGAATTATTTATATAAATTTCGAAAGATTTTATTTGCTCTAAGAGATGATAAAAATTTTGTTTTTTAAACTGCTATCATTAAATTTAATAATTTAATAATTTATTAATATGAAAATGTGATAATAATTCCTATTTTTCTGTGATTATTAAATATCCATAACTAATTGAACGACGGAAGTAGACTCCTATTGCCAAGTGATGGCAAAATTTTCTAATCGTAACAACCAGCGGAGTGAATCTAATAAAAAATGGTGAGATAACCACTTATTATCCATAGTTACTTTTCTTAACAAATAAAGAAATAATACTATTGAATATCATTGATGAACAATAACAGATTGATAATAAGATATCAGCATTATTATTGTTGTTAATCAACAAAAAAGTGAAATTTTTTGAGAGGAAAAAATGAGAAACAGAGAAGGAACAAGTTTCGTCAGAACAAAGTTATATTGTATAATTCAATTGATTATAAACACAGTAAATGGGCACTTTACGAAAGAAATTAATTCATTGAGTTATACATTAATTTAGAGATCACTTGATTTTCCCATGAACTATTTCTTCGTCTTTTTTTTCTTCTTCAACTGACTGTAACAACTAACGAAGCCGAAAAAAACGGCCACCATTCAGAATGCTAAAAAATGTTGTTAAAGCATCTTTGCCAAACAATTCATTTTTTTTCATAAGTTTTCCAACATATTTAATCTATTTTGATCAAGAAAAGTTGAATGATAATAAGGACAGGATAGTCGAGTAACAATAGCACAGAGTGCTTTATTATAAGTCATAAGATCTGCAGCTTACTTCTGACAAGAGCTGACTCTAGTGAACCATGTATGCTTCCATTTGTCGCGGACTGATTCTGGCAAAAATTTCCCACCACTAGCCTAATCAAATATCGTAAGCACTCAATATTTTTTTTCTTTTTTCGCTTAATTAAGTAAAGCACTCAATATTCGCAATAACGAGAGTCGTAAATCTGAGAAATAGGAAGAAAAATCTTGAATTGCCAAATTTACTGCTATTTGTTCAACATTCATAATTTTAAAGTATTTTTTGATAAAAGTATTGATAAATGAATAGCAGAAATTTATTAAATTAATTGAATAAGAATAAGCAAAAACTTAAAAAAATTTAAAAAGCCCACATGGGCTTTCCAGTTTAATCTTTAAATTTTTGTTAAAATTATTATAGAAAATACAAGAAATATTTTAAAGGACATTGATGAGAAACGAAAATTTCAAATGCCTTTGCCTTCTAATAGAAAGAAATAATCTAGTAAATGAGAATTCAACAGTTTGTCTATTTGTCAATAAACATGTCGTAGATTAAAAAATTTTTGATAGAATTTCACCAAAAAAATTGTCAGGACTAAATCACTTTGAAACCAATTTCAACAAAACTTTTTTTGAAATTTCTCCGAATTCTTCGGAATTTAATTAAATTGTAACAGAACAAGTGGCTCATCATGAGACAATGGTTCAGCTCCCGGAAAGAGTAGATCTGCCGTCAAAAAAATCGAGGTTGTGTTGGCAATTTGCATATCAAATATTTAGGCAGTTTTTATGAATGAAACATTGAATACGTTAAACTTGTGAAGCAATCCTCAAAATTCCAATTGAAATTTGAACAGGAAACAAGAAAACTTGAACTGGGAAAATATAAGTTCTTAAGTTCTTAATTAGTTTGAGGATTTTCTTTGATTTTCTAATGAAATTCACGATGGAGTGGCCCAAAAGTGATTTGATTAGCTTAAAAGAAAATAGGGCCAAAATAGAGTCGTATATTGCGGTGTCTGTGTGGATCTGAGGATACTAAAGATTGTGGATTCGATTCTCATGTGTTGGTAGCAGCAAATCTAAAGCAGACACAAGTGCCATCAGAGGCCAATCTGTACTTGTTCATAAGCGACTAAAAATGAAGAAATTTTACCATAGGCTAATATGGTTAGCCAAACCAAGAAATGGTGAACAAATGATAATTAAGGATATGAAGACAAGACAAGACAAGAAGACAAGAATTTGAGATGGAACTTAGTGCTATAAATTAAATCTTACTTTTGTGATTTCGAAATATCTGCAAGACTTTCAAATGTAAGAATGGATAAATGAGATCCCATGAACCAAAACATTTAGCGAGAGGATTCTAACGCTTATACTAGGACCCTAACAACTTAAACTTTCATTTTGCTTCAATTACCTTAAAATCCGCAATATCTGGTAAGCCGCAGTGATTTTCAAGGCTCCATTTTTATCATTGAATTGAAGCTTTATAATTGAAATAAAATATTGATGACAAAAATAATCTTACGATAGGCTAGTATTTGAATAGTTCACAAGATATTTACCAGTTCTTTTGCCATTTTATAGCTTAAATTAGAGTAGCCAACTTACTTATTCGTTATTATTCGTCAAAAATCCAATTTTTATTGTCTCATATTATCTTTATTTTTATTGTCTCATATTATCTTATATTATTTTCAAAAATTTAATTTAATTAGTAAAGATCGTAGCCGATCCTGGAAATTACAGTAATTCCTTGCAGTTCGGTACCATCTTCTCAATTATTATAACATTACTATATCTTAACTATGGAGAGTTAGCTAGATGATTCCAACGTCAAATAATTTCCTTGTAATTAAGCCGAAATTGCATTTGATATTCGAGCAAATAATGCATTTTTACTACATTTATTGTCAATTGAGAGAGGAATGAGAAAGATAAATTGGTAACGATGATTAGAAAAAGAATTTTTCACTAAAAATAAAATCGAAGACAACGGGCAAAAATTTTTACGACGAAGAACCGTAAATTTGCTTCTTACATGAGGATTTAAATGAGATTATTTTAGAGAAGAGAGATTGCTATGTTCTATAAAAAAAGAAGAAAACCATTTAATTCATGCTGTGTTAACGACTGTGTCTTTCGACTAGAGAATTCAAACAAAAAAACTTCCTAAAATATCTCAATTAGTTTCGATGATCTCTTCTTCATTTCAATTCCTCGATTACTTACCTATCATTTCATGCATCATTCCTATAGCCCTATAGCAAAATCCACACTCTACTCCTCCATACCAAGTTTTTAATAAGCCTCTCCATTTTTCCAATAAACTGCTATTGTAGATTTGGCGTATTTTGACATAATTATAATTATGACCAAATTTTGAAGCAAATTGAAGCTTTATAAATAGTATCGCTCTCAAATATTTTTGATTAGAATGCTTATATGCTTATATTCTTCAATAATAAATTCAAATGTTTTTTTCAATAATTTTCGGAATGTACATAATGGATTTAGGTGAAAAAACTAGCTCCGTGAGTAAATTAGAACCATTAAAATAATTTTGCATAATTTGCTAATTAAAGCGTTAAATTGTCTCAGTGAATTCCCCGAACTGTAAGAAGAATATTATGAGAATATGCTTCATCAACTCCGCATAACTGTTATTGTTGCCAATTTATTGGATATTGAATACCTTGGATTTTTTATGTTAACTTTTATGTTAATGACTGTGTCTTTTGAGTGGAATTTAAACAAAAAAACTTCCTAAAATATCTTAATTAATTTATATATGCCGAGTATAGTAATGCAGATAACTATAGAAGGGACCAAAGTCTTCCTGTATAGCTGCAAAACAACGGAGCTCCTCAGCTGCTAATTAAAAGAGAATTTTTGAACTAGAGTGTTCTTTATAAAGTCGTATAAATATG